ATTTTTTTTTTTTAATATAGGTATCTTTTATTAAGATTTTACAATAATGGTCTTATGCAATATTTGTCCTTTTGTGAATGACTAATTTCACTCAACATAATGTCCCCAAGGTTCATCCAGATCATAGTACTTTCCATGTTCTTTGTCCACACCATAATTTAAATGCATCAATTCTTCTATGGTATTTCTTAGTTACTGTCTGTCTTTCACATACAAATGTGGTAACTGAAGATACCATGGCTTAAGTCAGGCATACCTTAGTCCTCAAAGTGACATCTTTGCTCTTTAATACTTTAAAGAGGACTTGTACAGTTAATTGGCCTAATGTAATATGTCATTTGATTTCTTGACTACTGCTTTAATGATTGTTGATTGTGGATCCCAGAAAAAGGAAGCCTTTGACAGCTTCAGTCTTTTCTATATTTGATGGTGGTGGTGGTTATATGTTGTGGAGTCGGTTCTGATTCATAGCATCCCTGTATAAGGTGTCTGAGGCTGTACATCTTTGCAGGAACAGAAAGCCTCATCTTTCTCCCACAGAGCAGCTGGTATATTCTAACTTCTGACCTTAGCAGCCCAATTTATAATCCATTATGCTACCAGAGTTCCTTTTTTTTTTCTGTTTATCATGGTATTTATTGGTCCACTTTTGAGAATTTTTGTTTTCTTTACATTGCGGAGCAATCCAAACTTAAGACTATAGTCTTTGATATTCACAGTCAGTATTTCAAGTTTTCTTTGCTTCCAGCAGTCAAGATTGTATCATCTGGATATCACAAATTGTTAGCGAGTTTTCCTCCAATACTGATGCCATGTTATATTTCATATATTCTAGTTTCTCAGATTATTTATTTAGCATTTGGTGCTGTAGGATCAGCGCTGGACTTTGAGCCACAAGGTCAGCCACAAGGTCAGCAGTATAAACCCACCAGCTGTTCCTCAGAAACCCTATACAGAGCCACTATGTGTGAGAACCGACTTGACTGCATTTAACAACAATGTACAGACTGAATAAGGATTGTGAAATGATATGACTGTGGCAAACACCTTTCCTGATTTCAAACCATTAAGTATTCTTTTGTTCTGTTTGAAGAATTGTCTCTTGGTCTATGTATAGGTTCCTTATGAATAAAATTAAGTGTATTGGAATATCTATTCTTTGTAAAGATATCCACAGTTTATTCTAATCCAAAGACTCAAATGCTTTGCATAGTCAATAAAGCATAAGTAAACATTTTTCTGGTGTTCTCTGCTTTCAGCCAAGATCAATCTGACTTCAGCAATGATATTCCTCGTTCCATGTCCTCTTCTGAATCTGGTTTGAATTTCTGGCAGTTTCCTATCAGTATAATGCTACAGCCATTTTCAAATAATCTTCAGCAAAATTTTGCTTGCATGTGATATTAATGATATTGTTCAAGGATTTATGCATTTCATTTGGTCGATTTATTTGGAATGTGCATAAGTATGGCTCTCTTCGAATCAGTTGATCAGATAGCTGTCTTCCAAATTTCTTGGCAGAGATAAGTGGGCACTTCCAGCACTGTATCAGTTTGTTGAAACATTTCAATCTGTATTCTATCAATTCTTTGAGCCTTGTTTTTCACCAATGCCTTCAATGCAGCTTGGATGGCTTCCTTCCATGCCACTGGCTTTTGATCATATAGTATCTCTTGAAATGATTGAATATCAATCTTTTTTTTTTTTTTTAATACGGTGACTCTGTATTCTCTCCATCTTCTTTTGATGCTTCCTACATAATTCAATATTTGCCTATAGGATCCTTCAATTTTACAAGTCAAGGTTTGAATTTTTTATTCAGTTCTTTCAGCTTGAGAAATGCTGAGCGAGTTCTTCCCTTTTGGCTTTCTAACTCCTGGTCTTTGCATATTTCATTATAATATTTCACTTTGTCTTCTCAAGCTGCCATTTAAAAATTTCTGTTCAACTTTTATACCTTCTCATTTCTTTCAGTTGCTTTAGTTTCTCTTCATTCAAGAACAAGTTTCAGAGTCTATTCTGACGATCCACTTTGTTGTTTTCTTTCTTTCCTGTCTTTTTAATGACCTCTGCTTTCTTCACATTTGATATCCTTGATGTCATCCCACAATTCTTCTGATTTGTGGCCATTAATATCTAATGCATCAAATCTGTTCTTGAGATGATAGTTAATACAGGTTGGATACACTCAAGGTCACATTTTGGTTCTCATGACCTTGTTTTAATTTTCTATAGCTGAAGCTTGAAATTTTTTGTTGTTGTTAAGTGTCGTTGAGTCGATTCTGACCCATAGCAACCCTATATAGGGTTACCAAGGAACAGCTGGTGAACTTGAACTGCTGACATTACAGTTCAAATGACTCTGCAGTCTGACGCATTAGCTCAGAGGGCCACACCAGGACTCCCTGAACTTACATATGAGTAATTAAAAATCTATGTCACATTGGCCCCTTGCCTTGTTTTGGCTAATGATATTGAACTTCTCTATAGTCTCTTCCCAAGATGCAGTCAATTTGATTCCAGTGTATTCCATCTGATGAGGTCCATGTGTACAATTACCATTTATGTTGTGGAAAAAAGTATTTGCGATGAGTTAGTCACTAGTCTGGCAAAATTCTATCATGCAATCTCCATCATCATTTCTATCACCAAGGCTATATTTTCCAACTATTCAAGAATAAGAGTAGAAAACATAATATTGCCTCCATGAACAACTGCCTCCTTTGCAATGAGACTAGAAGAACTTGATGTCCCCCAGTTACCATTACTAAACATTTTGATCAAATATTCTATAGAAGAATCCTGATCAGAAGGGTTTGGCAAGCAAATGTAGAACAAAATTTCTAATTGTAATGTACTCCAAAAGTTCTGGAGCTATGGAGGCTGAGTAGGCTATGATACTATTGCCCTAAGATAATCTTTAAGCCTTAAACTAAATATCTCTCTTGTTATCTTCTTAAAACCAATCAACAGTTTGGCTTAACTAATAAAGGAAGTTGCCTTGACCATAAACCTCTTCCAAGAGCTACCTATATGGTATCCAGTTAACAAGAGCAACTTGAAAGATTAGATAGGTACCTTAGATGGCAATGATTTTATGCTAATGAAGACCTCAGAAAAGGTGTGTGAGAATGTGTACTACTCAAATTATATAATCAATGTTATTTAACTGTACATGTAGAACCTTAAATTGGTATATGTGGTGCTGTAGGACTAGGACTCAACCTTTATGTCGGTTTGAACAGTAAGGTCAGTGGTTCAAACTCACCATCTGCTCCTCAGGAGCCCTATACAGGGTTGCCTGTGAGTTGGAACTAACTTGAAGACACTTAATAACAACATTCTCAACAACAAGAAAAAGAAAGCAAAGTAAATTATTTTTTGTAAATAAAAGCTGTGGAGCATAGTTTTACTCTGATACATGTGGAACTGACATGAGTCAGTATCAACTCTGAAAACAAGATTACTGTTAGCTTGAAGTGTATTAACAACTGGATAAACCCAAAGGAAATATGCTGTTTTGAGAGATGTATCTGTTTCTGAAGTGTTAAAAGCAAGTATATTTCTATTTTATTAACCTTATTATATCTCTTTTAAATGTGATATAAATAAAATAATTTTTATCTATCCATTAAGTAATAAAATCATGAAATTAATACCTGAATCTTCTTTCATGTCCACATCTTCTTCTTCCTCATTATTATCGTCTATTAAAAATAGGAAAGAAAAAACTTATATCAAGACCAGAAAGTCAAATTCTCCAATTTGAATAATTAAAAAGGCTAAATAAAAAGAAAAGCTAATAGAAAAGAGTCAATCAGTCATATTTTTTTATTGTTTTATATTGGAATAGAAAGAACATGTAAGCACTGAAGAACAATTTAACATTTAGTTTTTATATTTATATTGTTTCTATATTACAAATAAATATGCAATATCTTTTTACTTATCACAGTAATGCATTATCACTGCAGTAATTTCAATTCCTTAAAGTTAAAAGTCACAGACTTTAAATGACACATTTCCCACACTTATTAGAGATACCATGTTTGTCTAAAGAATTTGAGAAACATGGATATTGCCATTTTGTTGTAGGACAACATGATATTGTACCCTAAGGTTGCACTATGACAAGTGCTAGTTTGGTTCACATGCAAATCCAAACCTTTAACCATGTATTTTCAAGTTCCCTCACCAGTTGCACCATTCCCATTTAACTCTTACCTCCAGGTAGGATCCCTTTCAACTAGACGGAAAATGTGCTTCCTCTACTCTGTATACACAATTCCTTTTTTGATCTTTTGACATGTTGCCATCACTCCTTTTGCTTGTTCTTCTCATCCACTCAGTGGCAAATCTTATGATGTTTCCATGTTGCCTTCTCGCCACTTACATTGTTAGGATCCAAATTCAGATTTTCAATGCCACTTGCCTCAACTATTTTAATAGTTTCCTAACTGTTTCTCTTCTCTCCCCACTCCTAACTCCAATTCATTTTATACGTAAGTGCAGAATCCATCTTAAAATACAGATCTGTTCTTGTGCACAACTATTCGGTGACTCCTTCTATTTAATGAGAAAACTCTATACTGTTTAGAGTAACATTCAAGGCCAACAATATCAAGGTCAGACCATCTTTCTCAATTCTGTCACCCGTTTTACACTTATGCTACCACTTAACTTAATGGTAACATTAAATTCATCTCTGTTCTTTCAAGATACCTTTTGGCTTCCACTACCTGATTCAGTCCTGGTAGGAATGTTGTTCTTGTTGTTAAGTGCCTTTGAGTCGGTTCCGACCCATAGCGACTCTGTACAGGGTTTCTGAGGGTGTAAATCTTTACAGGAGTAGAAAGCCTCATCTTTCTCCCGTGGAGTGGCTGGTAGTTTTGAACCGCTGCCCTTAAGGTTTGCAGCCGGATTCATAACCACTATGCTACCAGAGCTCCTCCTGGTAGGAATACTCTACTCCAATTCTAGTCTCCTTCATCATTCAAGATTTAACTTAGCCACCATATCTATGAAGCATCTACTTGACTCAGTTTTGAATGAATACTGTTCTTGGAATGCCTGAGTTTGTTGTTTTCTGAGTATGAGCTTTTAGAATATAAGGATGTAGGTCTACATTCTGAACCCTTCACCCACCCATTCTGTAGCCAATTGACCTTAGAGAATTTACTTAACCTTTCTTAGTCTGAAGTTTATCAGCTGCAAACTAGGGATAATAATAGTGCCTAATACTGGTAGTATAGCGTTTATGAGTCAGGCTGCTAATCTCATGGCCAGCAATTTGCAACTACCAGTTGTTCTGCATGAGAAAGATGAGGCTTTCTGGTCTCATAAAAATGTAGAGCTTCAGAAACTCTGTACAGGGTCACTATGAGTTAGAACCGAATTCACAGCACATAACCACCAATACATGCAGATGTTATAAGAATTAAGTGAGACAGATCTAGACAACCATTAGGATGGTGAGTGACATATCTTAAGTGATAAGTATTAGCTATTATTACCATCAAGTTTCAGAACTTGCTATTTTTTCATTTGTTTGTCTTCAAGATGCCATCTCTAGATCAAAAATTCCTACAAAGATGAAGATCGTGATTCAGGATCTTTGTATTACCTGAAACTTATACATTAAAATCAATACTCAAAAAAATTTATGTTGAATTGAATTTCTATTATTACCCATGTACCTTATATATATTCAGACTTCATGTATCTGAAAAGTGCTTTGCAAACGATGTTGTTGTTGTTGTTGTTGTTGCTGTTGTTAGGTGCCATTGAATCAGTTCCAAATCAGAGTGACCCTCCGCACAACAGAACAAAACACTACCTGGTCCTGTGCTAGCCTCATAATTTTTGTTATACTTGAGTCCATTGCTGCTGCTACTGTGCCATTCCATCTCACTGGGGATCTTCCTCTATTTCATTGACCCTGCACTTAACTAAGTATGATGTCCTTCTCTGGGGACTAGTCCCTCATGATAACGTGTCCAAATTATGAGAGCTGAAACCATACAACCATGGAACACTCCCGCTGTATTTCTTCCAGGAACACATACTTGTTTGTTCTTATAGCAGTCCATGGTACCTTCAATATTCTTCTCCAACAAAACTGAAATGTGTCTATTCTAAAGTCTTCCTTATTCATTATCCAACTTTCACATGTGTCTGAGGCTACTGAAAATACCATAGATTGGACCAGGCTCACCTTCATCCTCAAACTGAGCTATCTTTGCTCTTCAACAATTTAAAGAGGTCTTGTGTGGAGATTTGCCTAATGAAATATTGTCATTGGATTTCTTGAATGCTGCTTATATGAGTGTTGATTGTAGATCCATTCATCATGAAGTCTTTGATAATTTCAACCTTTCATCCATTTATCATGATGTTATTTATTGGTCTAGTTATGAGAATTTTTGTTTTCTTTTCATTGAAGTTCAATCTAAAATGAAGGCTGTAGTCTTTCATCTTCATCAGTAATTATTTTAGTCCATTTTGGTTTCAACAAGCAAAGTTGTATCATCTGTATATCACAGGTTGTTAGTGAGTCTTCCTTCAATCTTAATGCCACATTCTTCTTCTTATAACCTAGCTATTCAGATGATTTGTTCAGCATATAGATTGGATAATTATAGTGAAAGGATACAACCCTAATGCACACCTTTCTTGATTTTAAATCGTTCACTATACCCTTGTTCTGTTAAAATGACTGTGTCTTGGTCTATGTATAAATTCCTCATGAACACACTTAAGTGTTCTGGCATACCCATTCTTAACAACTTTATCCATAAATTCTCATGAGCCACACAGTCAAAAACCTTTGTGTAGTCAAGAAAGCACAAGTAAACATCTTTCTGGTATTCTCTGCTTTCAGGCAAGATCCATCTGACATCAGTGATGATATCCCTTGTTCCACATCCTGTTTTAAATTCAGCTTGAACCTCTGGCAGTACCCTGTTAATGTACTTTTGCAGTCATTTTTCAGTTATCTCCAGCAAAATTTTACTTGCATGTGATATTGATGATACTGTTTGATGAATTTCACATTCTATTTGGTCACATTTCGAATGTCCACAAATACAGATTTCTTCTAATCAGTTGGTCAGCTAGCTGCTTTCCAAATTTCTTAGCATAGATAAGTGATTATCTCCAGTGCTACATCAGCTCATTGAAAGATTTAAATTTGTATTTGGTCAATTCCTGGAGTCTTGTTTTGCACCACTGCCTTCAGTGCAGCATGGACGTCTTCCTTCAGTAGCATCAGTTCTTGATCATATACTACCTCTTGATATGATTGAAAATCAATCATTTCTTTTTGTACAGTGACTCTGTATATCTTCATCCCACTGTTGTTGTTGAGTGCCTACAAGTCAATTCTGACTCACAGAAAATCCTTTAATATTGCAAGTTGATGCTTGACTTTTCTTCAGTGCTTTCAGCTTGAGAAATGCTGAATTTGTTCTTCTCCTTTGGTCTTCTAGCTCCAGGTCTTTACATATTTCTTTAAAATATTTGACTTTGTCTTCAGAAAACTGCTTGGTGAAAATTACTGCTCAGCTCTTTGACTTCCTCATTCTTCCATTTGCTTTATCATGTCTACTCTGGAGATCAAAATTCAGTTTCTTCTGATATCCATTTTTGTCTTTTCTTTCTTTCCTGTCTTTTTAATGACCTTTGCTTTCTTCCTGTATGATATTTATGATGTCATATCACAACTCATCTGGTTTTCAATCATTAGTGCTAATGCATCAAATCTGCTCTTGAAAAAGTATGTAAATTCAAGAGGGATATGTTCAAGGTCATGTTTTGGTTCTCATGGACTTGTTTTAATTTTCTTCAGCTTCAACCTGAACTTACATATGAGAAATTGATAGTTTGTTCAGCAGTGTGCCCCTAGATGGTTTTAACTGGTGATAATGTTTTGGCTGACTGTTCCACCATCTCTTCCCACAGATGTAGTCAGTTTGATTCCTGTGCATTCCATCTGATGAAGGACATGTGTATAGTTGTCTTTTATGGTGTTTTAAGAAGGTATTTCACATGACTGTGTTATTGGACCAGCAAAATTATATTATGCAATCTCAAGCAATATTTTTTATCACCAAGACCATATTTTCCAAATACCAATCCTTCCTCTTTGTTTTCAACCTTCACATTCCAATCATCAGTAAATATCAACACAACTCAACTGCATGTTTGATAAATTACAGACTGAAGAACTTGGTAGAATTCTTCAATTTCATAATCACTGGCCTTAGGTTTTGGTATGTAAATTTGAATAATATTGGTATTAAGTGGTCTCCTTTTAGGCATATGGATATTATCCTATGATAGAGAGCACTGTACTTCAAGACAGATCTTGAAATGTTCTTTTTGATGATAAATGTGGCACTTTTCAGTGTGTCATTTCCAAACATAGTAAACCATATGGTTATCTGATTCAAAATGGCCAATACCATTCCATTTCAGCTCACTAATGCTTAGGATTTGACAGATTTGTTTAATGTATCAAACATGACCCAAGTCATGGTATTTTCAATAACCTCATATGCATGCAAAAGCTGGACAGTGAATAAGGAAGACTGTAGAAGAATTGATGCTTTTGAGTTATG